ACAATTGAATGCTAATATCACCTGTTATTAGTAATATTACTATAAATAATATATCACTAATAATTTTTTTTACTAATAATTTTCACTAATTTTTCCAGTTGAACAATAACAATAAAAATACAAGTATATTATTAATAATATTAATGAAAATATTATATATATCATTGATATATATATATATAATATTTTTTCACAACAACAAACAGTTTTCAAAATATAGCAAATATGTTTGGTTTTGTTTTTTGTTTTAATTGTTTAGTTAATTATAAATCAATGCACCCTTAGTGTAGAGATTTGATAAACAATTTTTTTGTTTTTGTTTAAATGGGTTTATTATTTAAATTTTTCTATTAATTAATTTTCACACAATTATATACTGTATATAAATCTTTATTTTTTTTTGAAAAAAATAAAACATTTTGTCTATTAAGTGGATTTACCCCAAAAAATATATTTTTTAAAAATACAGATAATTTTGTTAATAACTGAAAAAAACTAAATTAGGAGACAGTTAATGAACTTTATCATTGAACTCATTATTTAAAATGAAAAAAATTATTAGTTAAGATTTTATGGACAATAATCTTAATTAATGTTCATTGAAGTGATAATAAATAATTTTTTTTTTAAAAATTGATGAAAGTTTTTATTGATTTTAATCAATGCTGTAATCAATAAACTATTGATAAATTGTAAAAAAATATTTTATTAGAAAAAAATCAATAATTTATATTATGATATCAATATTAAATAATTTTTTTCTCACAATAAATAATTTTTAAAATAAAATAATTTTTAGAGTTTTTATTTAATGATTAATAATTTTCTAATTATACTTATATTATATATATATTTGTATTATTATTAATATTATATTATAATTTATTTTTTTTTAAATTTTTATTTTAGATTACTTAATAGGTTTTCTATTAAATTATAGGTAAGTTATTATTAAGCTATAAATAAATATTTTACCATAAGTTTAATAACTTTATTTATGTTAATGATTTTATAAGCTATTAATACAGTTATATTGTTAATATTATTAGTTATAAATATAAATAAAATTTGCATTAAATACTAATAAATAACAACAATTATAAACACTTTCTGAAAATAAATTATATTTTATTTATTATTTTTTAAAAAAGAAAGAAAATAATATCTAAATAAATAATTTGTGTGTTAATTAATTAGTTAATTATTATTTTAAACAAAATAATCAACAATAATAATGACATATAATATTATAGTATTAGTTTTTTCAACAACAACAACAAAAAAATTATAATTTTAAATTATTTTTAAGTATTTTAATCTATTTATATTTTAAAATATGCTATCACTTTTTTTTGTCAAAAAAATTCACACAATTAAACCAAATTATTATATCAATATCAACTAATAATAATAATAATAATAATTTTACTTTATTTAGAAAATATTTTTTAATCATCAATTATGTCAATTAAAATGTCAAACCTATCAATATTATTATTATTATTATATATTTATATATACAAACAATATATGATATACATAAGTGAATTCAATGATTACTGATTTTATCATCAATTTCTACTTTAAGTAATGTTTATAAAAACAATAAAAATTCAAAAATAATAATAAAATAATAAGGACACAAATAATTTGAGTGTATAACTAAAAATAAAGATTTTAAATAACTATAAATATCTATTTTATTAAACAGTATATATATATATATATAGAAAAATAATACTGTATTTGAAAAAAATTAATACTTTTTTGTGATTTTAATATAAGATTATATTAATAAATATTTTTGTGTAAATAAATAGATATTTTTTTAATTGTGTAATTATGTAAAAAATAATATTAGATAAAATAAAAGTAATTGAATCTATCAATATAATGTTAAAATATAGTTAGTAATATAACTAAATATTATTAAATGATAATATATAGGATACAAAAAAAAGTTATTAAACATTAAATCAACTTTAAAATATGTTTTTAAAGCTAAATAATTGAATTTAAATACAGTATTATGCAATACACTAATAGACTATTATTTTTACATAATATATATTTATCAAAAATATCAGATTTAAAATATTAAAAAATTTTTTATATGTGGGCACATATTATTAAATAGTATTATATGATAAATAAAAATTATATCATATATTTTAAATTTACATAAAACAGTAAACTTTTAATATCACTATTAGTCTCAAATTATTATCTAAATCTAATACAGTATTTACGTATATATGATATATATATATTTGTTTTTAAGTTTTTAGTTTGAAATTTGATAGCAAAACAAATAAACAAATAAAAAGATGTTTCAAAAAAATAATTTCGTTATTAATAATAATTATAATAAGTTTTCATTTGTTTATATAAAAATAATAATAAATTTTATCAAATGTCAAATTATTGACCCTGGCAACTTAATAACTTTTACAACAATTAGTTTGTAATTTTTACAACTTTAAACATTTATATATTATTAAATATAATATAATTAAATATTTCACTCATAATATTAAAATTAAGATTAAAGTGAAATTATAATTTGAAAAAAATTGTTTTAAATATAAAAACAATACTACAACAAAAATTTCTCAAATTTCATTGAATATGTATACTTCATATACATATATTTATTATATACTGTATATATATATGGTATATTGTATATAAATATATATATATATACTGTATTTATATATATATTAAAAAAATAGGTTTCAATAAATGCTTGACACTGATTTTTTTGTGGCTAATATTTTTAAATTTATAAATATTATTGTAATCAAAATGTTAATAGTTAAAATGTTAACTTAATGCTATAAATAATTTAATTCAATAAAATATGATATATGACATCATCATAACATTATATACTATGATTTAACAATTTATACAATTTTTTACTCAAAAAAAAATTTATACACCATATTAAAAAAAAATTTTTTTACTGTTATATTTAGTTAAATTATTTTATTTAAAGCAAAGCAAATGTAAATTTTCTACACATTTTTTTCAGATAAATTTATATTTCATAACCCCCACCCCCACTACTCCTACCCCTCAAATATTATATTAGTTTAACTATATAATTTTTTTAAAGTTATATATTTAAAAAAAACCCGTGTCAGGCATTTTTTGAAAATAATTTCATTTTACATAATATAATATAAATATATTATTTCAGATAATATTATATCGAAAATAATGATATTTTGATTTTATTTATTATTATTATTATAAATCTGATACTCAATTATTAATAATTTTTGTAAAGAATATTCTGTATATTTAAATAAAATACAAAAAAGCAACAAAAAAATCCAACATTTTTTTTAAAGATTTCTTTTATTTAATAAAAAAAACACAAAAAAATACAAACTATTTCTTTATTTAAACATTTTATGAATGATATCTAACCATCAGTTGAATTATGTTATCAATGACTGAAACATCAGATTATTGATTTGAAAAAAAGTTTAGTATAAAAAACTAATTCAAACAAATTATTGAAAAAAATAAATATTTATTTTATATCTACAGGTATTTCTATTTTATATTAATAAATAATTTTATTTATTTTTAAAAAATGTAAGTATTAGTAATATTTAATTTGTACTAAAATTAAAAGAAAAAAACATTAAATAATTATTAAGATATTATTATAAAAGTTTTTTTTTAATATATAAATATTATTCTATAAAGATGTCCATAAATATGATAAACAATAATAAATTGAAAAAACTGGTCGTCCTATTGGTTATGGTTTATCTATTGAACAACAGTCTGTGTAGATCATCGTCGGCTAACCATTTGATGGCCGCCTCCGCTGTCGACGATCCCGACGTACAGCCAACCATACGGTCGCCGCTCAGGTTTGGCAAACGGTTTGACCGACAATTTGACGGATCATCAGATGATTACATCGATGTTAACAACAATAACAACAAAAACGACAACAACTATAACCACATTCAAACCGATCAGCCATTGAAACACTGGCTGTTTTGTAAGTTTGTTGGTCACCGACAATTGGCTACCGTTCCTCTCGATACTACCATAGCTGGCGGCGATATTAATACAATTTTAATTTATAATAGATTTCCTAAACAATTTCAATTTAATTTCAACAAAAATTTGTGTAAAATTTTTCGTATTTAATATTTTTTATATATATATTTATAACTTTTTAATTTGTTAAATAATATGAAATTTATTGTTTTTTTTTGTTTTTGATAATATTTCAAAATAATTAAATTTGAATAATTTGATATTTAAATAATAATAATAATTAATGTTAATGATTAAAATTAAAAACCTAAAATTAGATAAAAGACAATATTAATTTTAATATTATAAATTAAATAAATAAAAATTTTTACTAAAATAAATAATTGGATAAATAAAGTTTGTTAATGCACTCAATATATTTAGAGTTATTAAATAAAGTTTTTATTATTTAAATAATGTTTATTCATTCAAATGTATAAATACTAGTAAATGTTATTATAATAATCAAAAAACTTATTATTTGATTTATAAGTTATTTTTAAAATTATTTTAAATTATTAATATTAATTTTTTTTTAAATTTATTTATTTATAAATATAAATGATCCCATTTGATCTTATTTAAATGTACTGTATATACAGTATATACTATATATATTAATAATATATTGTAAGTACATTACTATTACTACTAAAACAAATATAATTTTTAAAAACATTTATGTGATTTGACTAATAATATAATGATTAATATAAGGGATTAATTTTAATTGAAATGATGATAAAAATTTATATATAATAATACTGTAGTCGTATATTTGTATACTAATATGTTAATTACAAATTATAAATATTATATAAAGAGTCAGTTAGTTGTATGTTAACTATATGTCATAATAATTTTTGTAAAAATTTTGATAATTATTTGATAAAATTATATAAATTACAAAAATTATATTATTATTAAAATAATTAATACTATCCATAAAATGAAACCTATGGTTTCAAACAACAAGCATAGAGTAAGTTGTATTTGTAATTATATTTTTAAAAAATAATTTTTATATTTTTTTATATAGAATTATATTAAAAATTATTGTAATTTTTTATTATTAATTATTAACTATTTAATTATTATTATTAGAGTTATTAGTTGTTTGTTAATTTGTTTAAGATATATTGGTAATAATAATAATAATAATAATAATAATAATAATGACTTTAAAAAATTATTTTTAATATATTTGTTTGTTTGTTATGATATGAATTATAAATTATATAACAATAGTATTACTTATTTTTTTTTATTAATAATTAACTATTTAATTATTATTAGAGTTATTAGTTGTTTATTAATTTGTTTAGGATATATATTGATAATAATAATGACTTAAAAAAATTATTTTTAATATATTTGTTTGTTTGTTATGATATGAATTATATGAATTATATATTAATAGTATTAATTATTATTATATTTTTTTTAAATAAAAAAACTAATTAATAATTTATTGTTAATATATTTTTAAAAAATATTTTGAATCTATTATATAAATATATACCGTATATGTTATATGAGATAATAATCCTAATTATTTGATGGGCACACAACTCCCCCCACCCCACCCCAGTGTCTGACATTTGTCGCAGATATCATGTTTGTCATATTACTTGTACAACAATTGACTAACAATGTGGGCACAGCCGGCGGTGCGTCCATACCGGGGCCCGATAGCGACAAACTAGTGGATCTGACCGGCGATTTTTGTCCCGACTGTGCGCTCCGTAAGCCAACCCGCTATGGAAAACGTGGGGACAGTAGTAGTGTTGGCAGCGATGACGGCTTCGGCGGCGGCGACAACAGCGGACAGTTGAGTTCAGTGGACAGTTTGCTGGACAAACAGCTTCAATGGTTTAATCAGAAACAGTCGGCGATGTCGTCATTGTTGAACAAATGGATAAAATATTCACAGTTTATAAAGGATAGGGAGGAATGGGATCATAACGTATTGAAAAGTAATTTTTAAAAAATAAATCAAATAAAATAAATCAACAATTTATTATTAACTAATTTTAACTAATTTTAACTAATTTTAACTAATTTTAACTAATTTTAACTAATTTTAACTAATTTTTTGTTTGTTTGTTTGTTGACAGCTATCGGATGATTCAGTCAACTACTACTACTACTACTACTACGGCTAAACTTTATTCAAAAAAAAATGTTTTTAAGTTTTTTTTATTATTATAATTATTTTTTTTTAATTTTTTTGTTATTTTGATTTTTTTTCTTTATAATTTATTTTATTATATAACTGCTTATAAAAATATAATATATTATATTAATAATCAAATATTATAATATCATAATAAAATGATTAGTAAAATATTATTATTATTATCAAATATGTATACATATTTATATTATTTATTTTATGAATAAATAAATACAATAGCATATTAAAAAAAATAATAATTATTATTCATTGTTTTCTAACATTATATTGTAGTTAATAGTTAATAATATTTAATAAATTAATTTTTTTAATGAATTATTGTTTGAATAGTTCATAAAAATTATTTCTTAATATTAATGTATTATAAATATATTAATATATGATTTTGTTTCTTTAATGTATAAATTATATACATTAGAAAGTCATTAACAATTTTTTTTATAAAATAAATATTAATTATTAATACATAGAATCTAATAATTCTAATGATAGACAATAAAAAATTTTATTAATAATTTTATTAATAAAATAGTTTTTTAATTTATAAAACTAAACTAAAACTATAGTAAATGTTATTAACTATTAGAAAATTTTTTATAGTTTAATTATTAACAAAATTAAATTAAATATTAATAATTTAACTTAAAAAAGCTAACTTAAAGCTGTTTATTGTTGGCATAAATCAAATTTAAAATTTCATAACTAAACAAAAAAAACAATAAATTGATTCAATAATTAGTAATAAAAATTAAATTAATAATAATTTAATATCAATTAACAAATACGTGGTTTTTTTTGCTAATAAACAAAATATTATTGATAATATTTAATTAATTGATTTAATTATTAAATAGAAAATATTTATATAAAAAATACCACTAATTTATTAATTATTTTAATTATTTATTATTAATAAAATTATTTTTTGACTAAAAAAAAATCTAACAGTCCTTATTAAATTAAATTAAAACATATCAAACATCTATATATAATACTGTTTAAATATTGAATTTAAATAAATAAATAAAATCTAACTGTCCTTATAGCTGGACATTCCGATTACCGAACTGTCGACCACATTGTCGCCGGTCAGCAAATTGTCGGTTAGAAAAAAGTCCAATACTAGCGGACTGTCCGTTTGGATGGCGTACTGGTCCATATCGGTCAGGCCTTCGTCGCGTAGCAACTGTTCGTCGACCGCGAACCGACCGGTAAACAGTTTGGCGTCTTTGGCCAACATAGCGTAGGCCGCGTCGGCCATAATGTCGGGTTTGCGACAATACCGGGCCGTACTGTGACCACCAGTACCTACTATATTGAACACAGATGTCCATATCATAGTACGCGGCCACAGACCGTTGACCGCTATACCATATTCGGCCAATTCGCTGGCCAAACCCATTGTTATCATTGATTGACCATATTTGGCTACAGTGTAGGCCAAGTGCGGTGCCAACCATTTACTGGCCAACGAATCAATCGGTGGACATATGTTCAATATATGCGGATTTGAGCTCAACTTCAGATACGGTATGGCATACTTGGACACCAGGAATGATCCTCTGGTTATCACTGAATGCATCAAATCGTAACTTTTCATTGATGTCTGTTCCGTATCTAATAAATAATAATAATAATAATTAATAATTATTATTATTACAATAATATAGATATAAAGAGAGAGAGAGAGAGAGAGAGAGAGAGAGAGAGAGAGAGAGAGAGAGAGAGAATCAGTTGACAAACACCAGTAAAGTGTAGAAAATGTGAAATTTATTTATATATATAACATATTTATATAATTTAAATAATATTTAACTTACTTTCCAAAAGTTATAAAAAAAAATCTAAAAAATAATTTTAGTCTAAAAAATGTTTTAATCATTACCTGTTAGACAGATAGCACTGGCATTGTTGATGACCACATCAATACCGCCGAACTCCCGGACAGTCCGGTCGATGGCATCGATGACGTCCTGTTCGCTCCGGACGTCACACTTAACGGCCAGACCTTTACCGCCGACTGAATTGACTGTTTAAATGGGGGGAAAAAACGCAAATATTTTCTAAATGTCTGAACATTTTTGGTCGGTATTGTCATCCAAATAGATATCATCCATACCTTCCTCTGCGGCCGTATATATGGTTCCGTCGAGTTTCGGATGTTTGGCAACTGTTTTCCCGGCAATAACAACATTGGCTCCGTCTTTGGCCAGTTTTAGTCCGATAGCTTTGCCGATACCGCGAGTGCCGCCATTGATGAACACAGTTTTGTTGGCAAAAATACTAATGTAATGATAAATATCAATATAATAAAAGTAATTATTATTAATATATTACACTAAATAATAATATTATTATTATTATAATATAATTTTTCTAAATATTTATTAACCCCTTATTTTCCATATTATTTAATATATAACGTATTGTATTAATATACTAATCAATGATTAATAATATACACACTTATATTAAATGTTAACACAATTACAACACAATAACAACAAAAAAAATCTAAAATAATATTATTATAAAAATTATTATACATATAAATATATTTTTAAACTATATTTATATTGTTTTTATTTCAATGTCTCTCTACATTAATATTTTGTAATAAAATTTAATTTATTAATTAATAATTGTATTAATGTTTTTTAATAAGTAATTTTAACGGTTTTTTGTACACTGTTTTTTTAAAATATAATTAACTAAATAAAAAAATACACTAATCACGATGATATTGTTAATATTAATAATAATAATAATAATTATTATTATTATTATTATAATTACTTTTGATTGAGTAATTAGCAAAAAAAAACAATTAAGTTAAGGTATAATAACACTTATAAATTATATTAGTTTTTTTAGTTGATTTAGTTAATAGTTAACTAAAATTAATTTATTATATAAAAATAATTAAATATATGTTTTGACTTTTAAAAAAATTAATAAATCTAGTATTTGTTTAATTAGAAATTATATAACAATATATAAAATGAAATATTTATTTATTTATTAAGATATATTATGATTTATATAAATAAAATTATCAATAATTTACATAATAATAAACAACAACAAAAAATCATTTACAAATTAAGCACAAACATTTCATCAAATTGTATTTAAACAAAATAATAATTAAAATAAATTTTTAAAAAATTTAGTTTTAAAAATACTATTAAATTAATCATCAAGTTTTATAATACAGAAATTGTTTTATTTATTTTATTATTATTATTATTATTATTATTAATTTATTCCTTAATTAAAACATTTCAAACATCTATATATAATACTGTTTAATATTTGATTTTTTTAAAATCTAACAGTCCTTATAGCTGGACATTCCGATTACTGAACTGTCGACCACATTGTCGCCGGTCAGCAAATTGTCGGTTAGAAAAAAGTCCAATACTAGCGGACTGTCCGTTTGGATGGCGTACTGGTCCATATCGGTCAGGCCTTCCTCACGTAGCAACTGTTCGTCGACCGCGAACCGACCGGTAAACAGTTTGGCGTCTTTGGCTAACATAGCGTAGGCCGCGTCGGCCATAATGTCGGGTTTGCGACAATAGCGGGCCGTACTCTTGCTGCCGTTGCCGAGTACGTTGAACGCTGACGTCCATATGATAGTACGCGGCCACAGACCGTTTACCGCTATACCATATTTGCTCAGTTCGCTGGCCAATCCCATTGTCATCATTGACTGACCATATTTGGCTACAGTATAGGCCAAGTGCGGTGCCAACCATTTAGTGGCCAACGAATCAATTGGCGGACATATGTTCAATATATGCGGATTTGAGCTCAACTTCAGATACGGTATGGCATACTTGGACACCAGGAATGATCCTCTGGTTATCACTGATTGCATCAAATCGTAACTTTTCATAGATGTCTGTTCCGTATCTAATAATAATAATAATAATTACAGTAATTAATTGGATAAGAGATGGAGTAATACCTTTTGGTTTTTAATTAATTTTTTCTTAAAAAAAACTAAAATCTTATATAAAATCTTATTATATAAAACTTAAACAAACAAAAAAAACATCAATTAAAGTAAACACCTGTAAGATATACAGCACTGGCATTATTGATGATGACATCAATGCCGCCAAACTCCCGGACAGTCCGGTCGATGGCATCGATGACGTCCTGTTCGCTGCGGACGTCACACTTAACGGCCAGACCTTTACCGCCGACTGAATTGACTGTTTAAATGATAAAAAAATTTATGTCTAAATATTTTTGTCGGTATTGTCATCCAAATAGATATCATCCATACCTTCCTCTACGGCCGTATAGATGGTTCCGTCGAGTTTCGGATGTTTGGCAACTGTTTTCCCAGCAATAACAACATTGGCTCCGTCTTTGGCCAGTTTTAGACCGATAGCTTTGCCGATACCGCGAGTGCCGCCATTGATGAACACAGTTTTGTTGGCAAAAATACTATTTAAAAAAAATTATTATTGAAACTAAATAACATATTATTATTTATTTTTTTAAAAAAAATTTTGTATAAACAATATTATTAATAACCATTTATTTTCCATATTTTATTGGATATTAGATATTATTTACAGTAATATAATTGAATTAAATACTATCAATAATATAACATTTAGTTTACAGTTATGTTTAAATGAGATGAGAAAAATATAATATTATATATTTGAAAAATGTATTATTGAATGAAATATGAAAATTTAAAAGTCATTTATTAATAATTAGCTGATTGGCCTTTAAATAAAAAATATATATATATATACTTATTTTATATAAAATATATTTTAATATTTAATGTATTTTTATTTTATTTTTGTTTGTCATTAATTTTTGTTTATTTAAAAAATTCTAATTATTTTCTAGGGTTATTTAATTTTTTTTTTATAAAAAAAAAATCTATTTATTATTAAACATACAATCAAATCATTATCATACAATTATATATTAATATAAATTTATATATATATATATATAATTTAGTTTATAGCTATTAATAATTTTTTTTGTAAAACTTTTTTAGTAAATTATATAAAATATATTTATAAATGAAATTTTTAAAAAAATTAAAAATATAAAACTGTCTTTCAATTATTACTATTATATATATATATATGTGTGTGTCAATTTAAACATAAATTTTAAACATATATACAGCTTATTTAGGTTTATGTTATCACAATCACACATTATATATAAAACTTTAATTAATCACAATTTGTGACATATATTTAGCCGATTATTTGTTTTACTAGTTTTAACATAAGTTTTTTTATACATAATAATACAAAACTGATTGTAAAATTGGGAGCTGTGGGAGCTATATATATATATACTATTGAATTTTACAATCAGTTTTGTATTATTATGTATAAAAAAACTTATGTTAAAACTAGTCAAATAAGTTTTATGGCACTAAACATGTTATCAATTATCACTTTTTTGTGGTCACTCTCTCACCGTAAGTACCTAATGACCAACAGTGCTGTCACTAATGTACAGCAATTGCGCTGATGAAGGATAGAGACAATTACTGTCCGAAACAATATTGCAATAATTTGTCCGCAAATTAAGGCCGAAGACAATAATCGGCTAAATATATGTCACAAATTGTGAGTAATTAAAGTTTTATATATATATATACAGCTGTTTTTTAAAAATAATTATTTTCAAACAAATTTTACTTTACAAAAAAAAATCTGGAATTTATATAAATTATTATATACTGCTATACTATTAATAACTATTTTGAATTGATTTTAATTTTTGCAATTTTGATGTGTGTGTATGTGTGTGTGTGTGTGTGTGTGTGTGTGTGTGTGTGTGTGTGTGTGTGTGTGTGTGTGTGTGTGTGTGTGTTATTTAATTATGTATTATGTAAGTAGTGTTTGGCAAAAAATAATAGAAATTTCTAGAAGTTTCTAAAAAAAATACCTAGATTATAGTATAATCATTGTTTTTACAAATAATAATTAAATATTATTTTAGTAGTATTTTACTTATTAATTAAACTAAAAAAAAATAATAATCGTTTATTTAGTTATATTAAACTATAATATACAGTATATATATATATATATATAATAAAATGATGAATAAAATTTTACAAAATTAATTATTATTAAATAATTATATATATATATATAGAGGTATTAAATTTTGTATAGTAATGTACTACATCATAATATATAATATAATATTATCTAAAGTTATATAATAGTATAAACTATATATATCATCTCTCATTAATATATAGTATTACAATAGTTATAAATATGGGTATTATTCCATATAGTATAACATTAAAAATTAAATTTCTGATAAATTTTCTAGAAATTTTCTCAGTGGGAAATTTATTTTTTTTAAAAAAAAAACTTTAGAAAGTTGTCCATCTCTAAATACCAAGTAATTTATGACATGAAAGTATTTTTTGTTTTGTTTCTGGCAATGCTAATATAGCATTGTCAACTGGTTTTCAATTTATAGTTACCACTATTGCTTAACCAGGAGAACCAGTAGTAATAATAATAATAATATTATAGATTATATTTTTATTTTTTATTTTAAAAATAAATAAATGATATTAAGAAAAATCTTGTCACACAACTCAACATTTTTATGTTATATATATATATATTATATAGAAATATAATCTATAAAAAATCATATATTAAACCAAAAAATGTTTGAAATATTTAAAAAAAATTATAGTTAACATTAGGTTATTGCTATACATTATATTAATTTATATATAAAGAAAAAACTTTTTTTTGAACTGCAAAACTTATAAACATATAATAAAATAAATTTTATATATATGAAATATACTGTATATAATATATGTATATAATATATGTACATATGGTATATAATTAATTAATAATTTAATAAAATTTATTTATTTTTAAATAATAATAATATTAATATAATATAATATTTTTTTTAATAATAATAATAATATTATAATACTGTATAATAAATAATGAATTTCATAAGAAAATTGTTAGTTATCACTGTATTGACAGCTACCTGTGCTGCTGTCGTCACCGCCACCACCACCACCACCGATGATGAAACCATTGTCTGCAATGAACAGACTAAAGAAAAAATGGATTTAATGGCAATGCAATTGTCCACTTTTGGCGATACCGACGGCCACTATCCGACCGATGTCCGCGAGTTTGCTGTCCAGTGCAAGTAAGCTGCAATAAAGTGGGAAATATCTACCCATAAATATCTACCTAAGCTCTCAGCTACCCCACCCCACCAAAAAAAAAACTTTTTAAAAAAAACTATTATATATATATTAAGGACAGACAAACAGCGCACCCAATGGATCAGCTCCTATGTGGACAAGTGTCTGACTGGACTGACCTACGATGTAACATCGATGGCCATCAAAGATATTGATACCGTATTGAAAAAGTATTGCGATTCACCTAAATTAGGTAAACTGTATATATCGTGGTCCCGGTGCGGCAATCTGGCCATCAATCAGACTGTCCACTGTTGGAACAAATATATTGTCGATATGGAACAGTTGAATCAGGAAAAGTCGAAAATCATCAACAAAGATAAGATGCCATTGATTTGTTGGTAAAAAATAAATAACCCTACCCTAACTGTCCTATCACTTACCGGTGCTTAAAAAAAACTAACTGATCCCACTGTTTGTTTGTCTTTCAAAAAATAAAACAGTATTTACCATCGTTTCGATACCTGTGTTGAGGAATCGTTTGCCAGATTAGGCGAAAATGTCTGCTCTTCGGCCACCGTTTCGGGTTTGCATTCAATATTGACGGAAATTTCTGGCCAAATGATTGAAAATTTTTGCGGCGACTATCAAGCGGACAACGATAAGTGCGATACAATTTTGAACGGAAAATACCAGTATCTCAATGATATTAAATTGGCGAAAAAGTTAAGCAAATCGCCGCTGAATGCCTTCATACGGATTATCGACAGTTCCCCAGAGTTTGTCGACTATTTCAAAGCCGACCGCAAAGAGTCGTCAGTTGTTACCGTTACCGACGACGATATCGCGGCCGATACGACCACCACTACTACAGTATTATAGTATAATAATTAATAATTAAATAATTAATTAGTAATTTATTGATATATTTTTAAACAAACAAACAAAAATCATATGATGTTAACTATATTTATAAGTATTTAATTTATTATAATTACTTAATTTATTATAATTACTTAATTTATTAGAAATTTCTACTTTTATTTTTAAAAAATCAAAACTTAATTTATTTATTGTATTATTTATGATTTGTAATGAAAATGAAAAATATTATATTTTTTATATACATTATATTGATTATTATTAAGGTAATAATTTATATATATATATAAACATTTAATGTAATTTTATATTATTAATATAATTTATTTATTTTTTGAAAAATAATTATTTATATATATTTTTTAATAAATTTTATTTCTCAAATTTTATCAATTTGAGATAATTTCCATAAAATCCATTGACGATAATAAATTAGATTTGTATAAACACCGGGTTTATTATTATTATTATTATGATTATTATTACTATTAGTATTTCCGCATTTTCGGCCAAACGAGACTATACCTACCAATGTGTCGACACCGTTCACCGGTATGGTTAGTGGTCCCCCTTTTTTAAATATAATTATAGATATCACCAAAAAAAAATAAATATGATTAGCATATTAATTAATATTATATCTTATCTCAATTATCAAAAAACCCATTTGAATTAATTAATTGAATTTTATACCTGAATCTCCCTGACAGATATCGCTGGCACCGACACTGGGACTACTACTACTACTACTACTGGTGGCGCATAGCATACCATCCTGTATGCCAACCGGTATGTTGCGCTTATCGCCAGTTGCATACCTGTGCGCGCAATCAACTTGCGATACTATATCGACCTCAAGTCGTTTTAATTGCTGTACAGATTGTTGCTGACGATGACGATCGCCGTCACCAATGTAGTCGTTGTTGTTGTTTTTGTGGCCAAACCCTACTACAGTTGCCCGTCGGCCGACCAGTTGATTGCGCGACAGATGCAGCGACGGTAGACATATGATATGGTCGGCTTCTCCACCGCCACCGCTATTGACGGCCGTATTGGTGACAACAAGTGCAATGTCGTGATAGGACTCGCCCCGATAGTACAGATCGTGTAGTATAATACGAGAGACGGCAACTTTTAGGCGGCCGTCACCACCGATCATACGGACAGAGTAGACACTGGGATCGCTATACACAATACACACATACAATACATAGAGAAATAAATTGATAGATATGTTAAAACTTTTTTTTGTTTTGTTAAACAGTTATTTAACATAACATCTAATGATAATAATAATAAATGTCATGAAAAAAAAATTAAATTAAATTACAAGAGCGGCTCAAAACAATGGGCGGCCGTCAGTACGACATTGCTGGCAATGACAGCGCCGCCACATATATGGCTTTCAAATGCCGTCACCGATACGATCCATGGATTGCCGATCGTTATCAGCGAAGGCGATGATGAAGAAGAAGAACTGGATTTTCCTGAACTATATCCTGTAAACAGATTCTGAAAGAATCGATAAATTCCTGACGATGTTCGGGACGATGGCATCATTGGTGGCCATTGTTGTTGCCGATGCCGGCGATTGTTAGCGGCGGTAACGGCCGCACAATTAGCCTGTTGGGCGAATGCTGCCGATTGATGGGTTTGATGGGCAAACAGTTGTTGGCCATTGGTTTTTAGTTGCGGCTGCGGCGCCGGTGGTCGCTGTGTTTGTCCAAAATGTATGCAACAAACAATAGACGAATCGTACTGTTGTTGCAATCGACAGGACAGCCAATCGGACAGACACTTGTGGCCATCACTGCACTTGTCTTTACAATAGATATTATTTTTGTTATTATTATTATTATCACTGATCATCAATTCATCCTTAAGTTTAACAGAGTTTGCCGTAAATATAATAATCATTAGTAGTTGTATTAATAGTAATAAATTTATTGATATATATTTCATTTTATTTAAATACACACTTTTTCACATATATATATATTGTATATATATATATATATAATAAAAATCATATATAAATATATATTTAATTAATTATTAAAAATCAACAAAATTATCTTAAAATCCAATACATAACTCCAGTAAATATGAAATAAAATCTTAATATTATAATATTGTCTATTAATATGTACTAATAATAATATAATATTATTTTACATGATTTCATTATTTAAAAAAACAATGAATATAAAAATTTTATTTAAAAATTAATCACTATTTCAATTGTGCTTACCGTATATAACATAGAAATTTAAATGCATAATATAGTATCAACAAAATTATTAATATTATATATATATATATAAAAAACATAAAAAATATAAGCAAATAACATATATACTGTATATAATACTTGTATAACAATAATTGTAAAAAATAAATGAGTAAATTAATCAAAAATTTATATATACTGTACTTTATATATATATATAAATTTATATATAAATATACCAACAATTTAGTTTTTATATATATATAAAAAATAATAATAACAAAAATTAATAATAAATCACTAATCAAAAATATGCGTAAATATTTTCATTGTTTGAACTATTGTGGTATCATTTTACACAAAAAAATACTAATAAAATACTAATAAAATAGCAATCAAATTGCAAGCTATTTATATATTGTATATATATAAAAATGCACTTGAACATCACATAATTTTTAACTGATTTAGCTTGAGCATAAAAATTATTATTTTTTAAAAAATTTAAAAATAATATCAATAAATTTTTTTAAATTAAAAATAGCAGATCTGTATTAATAGTATTTATGATAAAAAAATACCGGTACTAAAAAAATAATTAATTTGTATTATCATTGACAACAACAATACTATTATTATCACCATTACTGCTGACACCTAACTCTGTAATTAATGGTAACAATGGCACAGTTATGTCATCGTTGTTGTTGTTGTAGTTGTTGGTGACGGTTGTATTGTTAGCATTTTGTTCAATAGGTTTAAGTGTACTTTCCTCGTCGACATCCCTTTCCTCCTCGTCATCCCTATCCTCATCATCAAACACATTGTTATTATTAATATTATTATTTTCGTTGCTATCAATGGTCAATAAATTATCATTCATTTGTGTATTTGATTGTAATAGTCCATCAAAATCATCGACATTAACATCGGTACCCACTGTCGGGCAACAAGTCTCGCTCTGGTCGCCACCAGTTTTCCTAACCATATCGTACCAGAGCTGCAGTTCAAGCGGTGTCTTAATAATCGACTTCGAGATACCCGAAACGGTATTCTTGTTATTGTAGGCTTCGGCCGACAGGCGACGGATTCGTTCGCTGGTCTTGTATTGGTTGTAATACTCGAGGATCTAATACAACCATCGATAGAAACAACAGTTAGTAGTTAATAACCTGTAGTTTCATAACATACTAAACATTAGTATAACATTGGCGCACCTGTATCATCGGGGGTCGTTTGTTTTTGGATCTATGAGCGCACTTACGGCCCAAATCGAGCAGACAGTCAAACCAATGGCACGACTCGTTGCCATCAGCTATACGTTTATCCAATAGTTTCGTATAATCATCGCTGGACTCTTTGTTAGCTTCTCTAATATGATCTTCAATGAAGTCGATGAGCAAACGTTTGCCATCGAAAGCACGCTTTCCGGTGGCCATCTCAAGCAAAACAATACCATAGCTGTAGACATCGACAGCCGGACTCAATATTTTTTGTCTCAGATACTCGAACGGCAGATAAACACTGGTGCCGTGCACCGCACTAACCGTACAGTGCGTATAGATACCGCTGCCACCCGGGTTTACTTGTCGGGCCAGACCAAAGTCGCCGAGTTTCGGTTCGAACAGCGAGTCTAATAATATGTTGGCGCTCTTGACGTCGCCGTGAACAAAGGCATTGCCCTTTAATGTGTGCAAATAGTTGAGCGCTCGGGCAACACCTTCGCCGATATTGATCCTCTGCGGCCAACTCAACGGTCTGGTGTTTGCCTTACAAAGTAATCTATTGATTGAAAAAAAATTTATAAAAAATAATAATAAATTCGGACTAAACGTTTGGCTGCAATATTGTCTACCTGTCCTCAAGTGAACCATTTGGCATAAATTGATAGACAAGACAGGGTTCAGCTCCATCCAGACTAACTCCATAAATGGGTAATATATTGTCGATTCGGTACCGATTCAATACTTTAAGCTCAGTTAGGGCTTGAGATCTAATAATAATAATAATAACAAATAACGGTAATTAAAAAAAARTATAAAACATCCCTGAGCTCAATATGACACACACAYATGAGACTTACATGTCGTGAAATCCTTTAAGTCGTTTAATGGCCACATTAGTGCCCTTCCATTCGCCCTTATATACCGTACCGAAGCCGCCGTTGCCGAGAATTCTTTCTTTGGCAAAGTCATCGGTGGCAATAAGCAGTTCCTTATAGTGGACCTCCATTTCATCGACGGTGCCGTCGACTAGCGATTTATTATTGTTGTTGCGTTTATTGCTATCATTATTAGTATCACAATTGAAATTATTGTCAATCGCTGTTGTCGTCGTCATCGTCTTATTCTTCGTCGTCTTCTTCTTCATATTCATGTCCAAGACTTTTGATTTATTGCTATAATCTGTGTTCAAATCATTTAGATTTTTGTTGTTAAGTATTTTCTTTTCGGTCGATAATTTTGTGGACACTGTAAGAGAGATTTGAAGTGTTAAACAACTTTTTTTTCTTAATTATTATTATTATTATTGACTGAATCATACAATTCATACCATATTTAGTACTGTTTTGTGGCAAACCTTTTGCGTCACTAAAAAAACTATTATTATTTTGCTTTTGTTTTGATAGTCCATTAGTGGACACTGCGGCCAACGCTGCGGCCATAGCATCGAAATCCGAAGTATTATTTCTATTGTAATCGTTGTTGTCGTCGTTGTCTGGATCTTCTTCCGGACACAATTGCCGAAGTTTTTCGTCGACAAACTGTCTTAATATATAAAGTGCCCGCTTGTGACCCATTTGTGCCAAATATAKGAACAACTGGTTGATCCGTGTGTTACTTGTCTCGCATATCTTCAACAGTTCATTAGTTGGCGATCCGTTGCGCAACARTGCGTGCGATATCAGTGTCAGCGATGTCTCGCTAAGGCCGACATACTGGCCGCCCAATTGACGCCACGACTGGTCGGCGTCCAGCAGATCGCACAGATGTTTGCGATGATTGTACGGCAAGTCGTAGATATAGTGGACACGCGGCGGCGGCGATGATGATGTGCTGGCAGCCATCGATGGACATCTCGATGATGATGACGGAGGTATCGGCGATCGTTGGCCACCGTTGATCAGCTGCTGTTGGCGATGATCACCTTTGAACGGATCCATTGATTTTAATTAAATATATTTATATCATTTGATTATCTGAATGACCACTACTTCCACTACTACCCGACTCCCGAAGTTATGGTCACTACTTATAATGGGATCAATTGATGTGATAATCATATAAAGTGATTGTTATTATTGATTGAAAAAAAATCWATGAATTGTTTTGTTATTATTATTTTGTGTATTATTTTTACTGTATGTTTGCATTGCATTGCATTGCATATGACTTATGCAACCATTGATTATACAAATAGTAAATATAATAACTATTTATGTGATATTAAATAATTTAGTACTATTTAAAGTAATTAAAAAACTTATATTATAATTAGTTAACATATTATATATAAAGGTTACGAATGATCGATAGTWATGTTAACTTGATTTGATTGTTGCTGTAGACTTGTTTTTATTTTTAGGTTAACTTTTTATTTTTTATTGAATATAAAAGTTTTTAAAAAGTTTTTTTTATTTAAATTTTATATATTATATATTTCATACATTTTTAAAAAAAAAGTTATTAATAGATTTTAATTTACAATAATTATAATAATAATAATAATAGATATGAAACTTTTTTGGTCTCTCAGTTCCCGTTCAACAATTATCACGGGAATCCCGTTCCCGTTTTCTAAACATTAATACGATATTTATTTTATTTTTATTGTTTAGTTTTATTAAATAATTATTTTTAAAAAAAATATATATTTTCAAGGATTTATAATCATATATTTATATCATAAAATTGTATTAATTATAACATAATATATCGATAGTATAAACTTTATAAAAACTTTATGTTATACTATAAAGTAATAATAAAAATTATCTTAAAATTTTATGAATAGTTTTTTTTTAAAAAGTTATATTATTATTATTATTGATATTAAATATTAATAACTAACTAACTATTAATAAAATTAATTAAAATTATTATAAATTAAATTACTTTAAAATTTTTATTAATCTTATTGAATGAATAGTCAATTGTTTTAAATTTAATTTTAATTATTATTTTATAAACTTAAATATTTGAATTTATATTTAAATAGATAAATAAAAAATACTGTAGACTACTTAAATTTTTAATTTATCTAAAATAATTATCTATATAATTTATTATATTTAAAAAATATTATAATGAATTAATTTTTTATTGAATTTATTAACAAACAAACAAAAATATATTATAAATTTTTTTTGTGTAATAATTAAATGTTTTTATTTTCTTTGAAAATAAACTAATACACAATAACGACAAAATAATAGACAATTTTTTTGATAAAATATAACTATAATAATGAATGCACTCATTTTTGATGTTAAATTTTTTTAAAAGTTATTATAACTATAATTATCAAAAAAAAAACTATTAAAAATCTATTGCCTGTCGTTGTTATTGTCCATCAAAATTGATCCCAACTTTTATCAAGTCTTTTGGATCAATTCATCATTGTTTTTGTGCATCAAATTTATCCCCAAAAAAAACAAAAAAATCATTTAAAAACTAAAAAAACAATTATATAATTTTTTTTTAAAATTTAAAACTATAAATATATATAATTTTTAATTATTAATAGAGTTTAGTGTTGAAGCTGTTGTTGTTGTGGTTGATGTACCTATGGTTGTCCTATTCATAGCTATATCCATGATATCTTGGGCTAAAAATCTGGGTTCACGTCCCGCGTGATACCGTTTGGTTGGCTGTCCAGTGGTCGGGTGTATTAAAAATTTTTCAAAATTCCAGCGCACGTCTCGCTCATGTAGTTTGTCGTAAAATAGTTTTTCCCGATCACTAAAATCCGATTGTGTTGTCGGACAGGCTCTCTATTTGTTAATTAAAGAAATATATATTTAATAATAAATCAGTTTTAATAAAAGTAAAATTAAACAAAATAATAAATATCATATTTTATAGCATTTATATAACACATTTTGACTTCCTATTACCAAATATTTGATGTTTTTTTTTAAAATTATTTATAATTTGTAATGTAAATAATTTATTACAGTTTTATAGTACTAAAATTTTATATTAATTAAATTTATATCGTATAATATAAAATATTTTAATAATTTTAAAATTAATTAAATTGACTCTAAATTATTTTTGATAATTGATAAAAATTTATCAAATCCTATCAAAAATAGTGATAGAATTCATATATATATATATATATATATATATATATATATATATACAGTATTGTATATAATATTAAATAAAAATTAAAAATAAATAATTTAAAACTAAAATCGAAATATATATATATATTTAATTAATTATATATTTTTAAAAAAATATATACAAACTTTAAGATATGAATATATCGGTTCCTCATTAAGACCGTTGACTTCGACTTTCTTAGACATCATAAAGTTTGGCTGAAAATTATCGCCCGGACGTACATAACGAATACCGTTAAGTATTTCCCGACCCGAACCGCCCGGTTCTTGCTATTGTTTTTTTAATTAAGAAAAAATTAGAGGACAGTTAGCTAACCTACAACAACAACAACACAAAATAAAATAATTATTATATAATATACAAACTTTGCCAAATTGATTGCATGGATAGGCTATAATCTCGAATAGTTTATTTGAAAATTGTTGTTTGAGTGCATTCAATTGAGGATAGGTATAGGTATAGCCTCAGTAGGTGGCCACATTGACCACCAATAGGGTATAGTTTCGGTAGTCGCCAATTGATACATTACGTTGGCCATCGATGGTCTGAAATTGATAGCCATAGACTGAATCCTTGCCAGTCGGATAGCAATCGGTTGAATTGACCTTAAAATGCCGTTCACTAGAGCTTATGTATTGTTGTTGTTGTTGTCCACTGCTTGAAACCGCACCCGCTGTCAGTGCGGTCAACATCAGTGTCCATATGGACTGCATATTCGGCGCCGCCCGAAGCGTTTAGTTATTAAGTTTATTATTATTATTATATAATTAATTGCGACTTTTTTTTAAAAGTTTATTTCACAAAACTATTGTACAAAAAAAATCAAATCAAATTATGATAGAAACTAATGATAAATAACTAATTAAATAAACAATTTTTATCTCTCTCTCTCTCTTTGGTAGGACTGTCCAAAGTTAGGTCCTACCAAACAGAGAGATACAGTACTTGTTTTATGTGACGTATCCCATGAAGTGGTAGATTCAGACAAATCACAAGACGACTTGTTTTAATTTATTTCATAAAATATATAAAAAACAAAAATTTTATTTTTTTTATTAATATATAATAAGAAAAAATTAATTTGACCTCTCTTAATATGTTTAGATAGAAAAAAATAATTAAAAAATATAAATATTTTTAAACACAAATAAAATACTTGTATATTATTTATTATATAAACATAATATTTTAAACATATGATATTTTTTTTTAAATAGACAATTATTGTCGTATATAAAAAAAAATATTTTAGTGAATTACAATTATCAAGGTCATGCTAGAAAATTGTTGAAAAATTAATGATTATATTTTTTTATAAATTTAAAATTTCTTAGAAATTATAAGATAATATATCTGACAATTCAATATTTTTAGTTAGTTTATATATATTCACTGAGTGAGTGAGTGAGTAAGTGATTGTGTGTGTGAGAGAGAGAGAGACAGAGAGAGAGAGAGAGAGAGAGAGAGAGAGAGAGAGAGAGAGAGAGAGAGAGAGAGAGAGAGAGAGAGAGAGAGAGAGAGAGATAAAATTTAATAAAAATAAATAAAAATAAATTTATTCATAAACATAATGAGGAAGTATGACATCAATTTACTGTACAAATCAAAATCTATTTGATTATAAGTGTATATATTATTTACAATAGCAATCAATTCAAACACATTAATAATTTTCAATATATATATATAAACTTATATTTATTTAAAATGTATTTATTATTTGATAAATATTTATAAAAAAATTATAAACCTTTTTTGAAACATACAAAAAAGATTAAATTATAATGATATGACAAATTATTATCTTTTAAATATATACTGTATATATATATATAAATATATTGTATAAAATTAATATATATTTTTTAAAAAACTGATCTGTCATTATTAATGACTAAATTTATTTAATAATTTTATTTTATTTTTTTTAAAGTTAGTCTATTATATAATATTTATGTAATGAATATTTACACAATGAATGTGTGTAATATATAATACTTTAATAAATATAATTTTTTAATAAAAAAACTCCGGGTAAATTATTTTATTTTTAATTACTTAAACCGGATATCTTACTATCATATATACTGTTAAATTATTATATATATATATTTTTTAATAGACAGCAGAATTTAAAAAAAAAATCTTATATTAATACTTAAAACTTATATAAATAGTGTAAAATAGATAAAATTAATAATCATAAAAATATTGAACTCATAACCAAAAAAAAATAATAAAATAAATAAATAATAAATTAATATTCATTATGTAATACAATTACTGTATATTTTTTAAGTAAATTTAATTAAGTGTATTATTTATAAAATACAAACATATACATTTATAGATACAAACAGTATATACAGTATTGTATGATTATTAATTAGATATATCATTAATTTAAATAAAATTTTATCATCAAGTTAATTTATTTGATTAATAAATATATTAATTAATTAATTACATACAGAAATAAATTAAACAAAAAAAAAATTAAAAAATAAAACATTAAATGATTTATAATTATTATTAAAATAAAAATTATTTCATTTAACTATTAGATGACAATATAAATATTGAATTTACATGAATAGCATTACAATGTTATAACATCAGTACATCAGATGCCGTTCCCCCTAAACATTTGATCTAACCGTCCATCGGATAGTCAGTCAGTTAGTTGTGGCCATCGTCGGCCACCCGCACCCGTACGGCCACTCTCTCTGTTTCTACTCTTTGAACTTCCATTCCTGTCGACACATTGGACACAGTTGATGGACGTGCTGGGAGTTCAACCATTTCATTATGCAATGTATATGAAAACAGTGGGAACATTGGCCCCAAACCAGCGGACAGTCGTCTCCCGGTGTCTTACAATCGGTACAACAGCCGTCAAAAGCGTTACGACAAATGCCGCAATTGTCGTCGTTGGCCACCCATCGCCAAGTGGCTACCGATGTCCACGATTTGATTGTTACGCGCATTATAGCTTCTCCGACGACGACAAACACGTGTTAATTAATTAATTAATTAATTAATAACTAAACTATTATTAACTAAATTATTAACTAAATCGACGGTCAGTTTGTTTACAACATATATATCGTTGACTAACAGTCACGTGACTACTGTTAGATACAGACAGTCAGTCACATGTTATCTATAATCAGCCAATCAGTGGACAGTATTCGACAGATCGACTGTTATTTTTCATCTGTCAATATGTTTACACTGTTTGTGTGAATACAATCGTATGTAATACCCCCGATGTTATGGTACTATTTAACATTGTATATGCATTGTTGTTTATATGATTGTTAGTATAAAATAGGTATAAATTATCGCCAAGTAGTTATCAATGTTTTTACAATACACACATACAGAAAATTCAAATTAAAAAATTTGTTGCAATAATTGTAATGTATTTTTGTATTTAAAAAATATAACAAATTTTTTGTATTAAATGTATGACCCGTTTGACTAATATATTACTAAATAATAATAATAATAATAGTATTGATTGTATTAATATTCAATGTTAATGTAATTTTAATTTTTTTCAATTAATGCTATTATAGCTATGATATTAAAAACACAATACCATTATGTGATTGTGTGACTAAACAAACAGTTAATAGTTTAGTTATGTATGACTGATATATATATATATACCGTATAATTGAAACAACAGTTGAAAAGGACGGCATGTTTTATTAAATGTGTTATTGATTTTAATTAATTAATTAATTTTAATAAAAGTTTTTAATATATCATATCTTATATAATATCTTATCATTAATATTGTGTTTTTAATAATAATAAACTTTTTAGTAAATAATTTTAAAGTTTTTTTTTAAATACATTAAAAACTTTTTGTTTGTTTTTTTTGGGTAAATATTATATAATTTAGATATAAAATCCTATAATAATTGCAATAAAACTTTTTTTTTAAAAAAAATTTTTCAATTTGTTTGTTAGTTTGGCCACCGATTATCATCATCAGTGGACAACCGATATAATCTGGTTGTTGTGGTGGTAGTGATTACCACCCGATTATCATCATATCAATAGGTCTGACCGGTAGATCATATATGTCGTCATACAAGCCGTGCAGCAAAGGCTGTCCAAAAACTGGCGCTTCAAAGACAACAACTAACGGTTACGGCGGCGGCACTGGTGGTCATCAATTAACGTCACCGTTCAGCAACTCGCCGATAGCACCGTCCACGCCATCGTCATCGTCATGCGGTGCCCGATCGCCATCGCCGCGAGTGACCGAATTGCCAGTCGGTGTCCGATACGTACGCCAAACACCGCAATCGATCTATAGTACGGCCAAAAATACAGCCGCTTTTTGCAGCGGCGGCAGCCGAACGATAACCAAATCGCGCGAACCGTCGCCCGCTTTCAAGTCAACCCGATTTGCCGAACCGTTGACCTCGACTATCCGTTCTAACAACAACAACGGTACGGCCAGTTCGCAGTTAAAGTCATCCGAACGAGTCAGTCGCCAATCGCGGCCATTATACAAGCGACCGGTGATTCCACCCGCCAATGACGTAACCGACGATCACAAGATAGTTTCGGTTAGTCCGGCCACTAAGCAATCGTCGCCTATATTCTCGACTGGTTGTGTGTTTGGCGGCGACGGTAACGATAAGTTACAGCACAAGAATGGCATTCAGTTGTCAAAAGAATCGTTTCCCGATTCGGATAAGCCGTCGCCGAGAGAGCGGCAAACTATTATTAAGTCTGTGATTAATGCACCCGACGGTACAGTCAAAAGGTTAGTCAATTGATGTTTTTATTTACCGGTAATGGTTTTTTAGGTTTCCAGTGATTGATTGATTTTTTTGTTTTTGAAATTATCTTTTGATTTGTTAGATCATCAGTCATAACACCCAATGATCGTATGAATGTCCACAAGAATACCTATTCGGTACCGTTGTATCAATTGTCATCGGATGGACACAATGACCAGAATCGGTTGTCGGTCAACGTTAATGTTGCCGTAGGTCTCGAATGCGACGACGAAAAGGCTAAACGAAAGCATCGTTATGTTGACGATTGTATTTCAGAAGAATCGGAGTCCGAACCGCGTAATTATTCGGACGAATTGGACAGCAATGTTGCCCAATCGGTCGAGGGTTCGAAAATTCAAGTGGCCGTCCGATTGCGACCGTTTATCAGCGAAAAACTAGAATCGGTAGTCGAAATGTCTGGCAATACGGTTAGGATTATCAATACCGACAACGATAACTATAATCGATTGGAGTTCGGTTTCGATCACTGTCTCAATTCGGTCAATAGAGATATCTTTGAATTTGCCGATCAGGATAAGGTGTTCCTGAAAATGGGTCGACCATTGCTCGACAGGGCTATGGAAGGCTATAATGTTTGTATGTTTGCCTACGGACAGACCGGCAGCGGTAAAAGCTATACAATGATGGGCACCGACACCAATCCGGGCATAATTCCCCGATTCGTTCACGAAATGTACAAACGATTTCAAACAGTATCCGAAGTCGTGTTTACCGTTGAGGTGAGCTATTGCGAGATCTATAACGAAAAGATCTACGATTTGTTGTCCGACGATAAAAATGCCAACAAAAAGATGCTTCGGATTCGCGAACATCCGCAAACTGGTCCCTATGTCGAGAATTTGGCGGTCCGTGCAGTGGAATCGTACAACGAATTGATGGATTTGTTGAAATACGGTACCAGACGTCGGGCCACAGCGTCGACAGCGGCCAACGATATCAGTAGTCGATCGCATGCAATATTTACCATCAATTTATCGCAAATGCGTCAATCGGACCACGAAGATCTGGATACCAGTTGCTACTGTAGTTCGCGTGTCAATCTGATTGATTTGGCCGGCAGTGAACGTGTCGGTCACGCCGGTACCGGTGGTGAACGGCTCAAAGAGGGTGCACTAATCAATAAATCATTGTTAAATTTGGGTAAAGTTATTACCAAATTGGCCGAAATCAGTACCAAACAGAACAAAGTGGCGCACGTGCCGTATCGCGATTCGCAGCTGACTTATCTATTGAAGGACAGTCTCGGCGGCAATTCCCGTACGTCGATGATTGCTACCATAAGTCCGGCCAAATGTTATTTAGAAGAAACCCTAAGCACTTTGCGTTACGCGTCGACCGCCCGCAGTATTGTCAACTATGTCCATATCAACGAAGATCCCAAAACAAAGATTATTCGGGAACTGTTGCAAGAAATTGAATTTCTCAAAAATCAACAGATAATGCATTGCGATCAACAACACCTGTTGCCACCACAACAGCAACAACAAGAAGAGGTTATCAACGATTATGTCAACGACGATACCATTGACGAATGGGACGAACCGCCGGAAGAGCCCATTGAGACGACCAAACCGCGTACGTGTACTATAGCTACGAACACGTCGTTTGTGACCATTGACTGTTCGGATAGAAATAACGATAACAAGACACCGATGACGACGACACAGCCGCCGCCGGAACCACTACCACCACCAAAGCTGACCGCAACTATTGCTACAAACACATCGTTAGTAAGTTTGACGAACACTGGCACCGAACCGATGCCAACACATCCGGAGCCGAAACCACCTCAACAGCCATCACAACCGAAACCAAAGACCAAGAATACGGCCACTGAAATGTCATTTTCGGAAAAGGCAACGATTACCGTCTATGTGGATCTGCCCACACCTATGGATATGAGGCGAACCAAAGATCTCGAGAATATGCAACAGAAATTGCTAAACGAAATACAAAATCTAAAGGAAAAATTGCTCGACAGAGCTGATGGTTGGCAACCAAAAGATTGTAATAATTGGGGTAAAAATGATAATAAACCTACAGATAATGGTAATGGTTGTTGGAATAAAGAGAATAAACCTAATAATAATAAGAAGAAGAATAATGGTTTTAGTTGTGATAATTGGGGTGAAGAGAATGAACCTAAAGGTGATGGTAATAAACCTCTAAATGGAGGTGGTAATGATAATTGGGATGAACCTGATAAACCTGTAGATGGTGGTAATTGTGATGAAGACAATAAATCTACAAATGATGGTAATGGTTATAATGATGATTATTGGGATGCAGAGAATCAACCTACAGATGATGGTAATGATGATAATAAACCTACAGATGATAGTAATGACGATAATAAACCTGTAGACGATGTTAATGGTGATGATTGGGGTGAAGACAATAAACCTATAGTTGATGGTAATGATGGTTATGAGGATAATTGGGATGAAGAGAATCAACCAACAGATGATGGTAATGAGGATAATTGGGATGAAGACAATAAACCTATAGTTGATGGTAATGATGGTTATGAGGATAATTGGGATGAAGACAATAAACCTATAGGTGATGGTACTGATGATAATCAACCTACAGATGATTGTAATGATGATTATTGGGGTGAAGACAATAAACCTGTAGTTGATGATAATAAACCTGTAGATGGAGGTGGTAATGATAATTGGGATGATGGATGGTAAACATTTAATGTTAGATATATATATATATATAATTTTGATTAAACTTTTTTTTGTGTGTCACTTACTATTATTGTTAAACAAAACAAATATATATTACTATTATTGAAAACCATTTGAAAATATTTATAAGAAATTCACAGAACATATGATTTCATTCATTAAAAACAAATTTATATTTTTATTGTAAAACCATTGATTATCTGAAAAAATAAAAAAAATGATTTATTTGATTAATAAAAATTATAATTAATATTTAATGGACTATAGTTTTGAAGTGACCACCAGTGGTGTGTTGTTTGGTGTAATGTGTTGTTGTTGTTGGCCTCCTGTGCTCTGTTTGAACGGTTTACCGGTGCGGTTGATGGTAAAGTTGGCCCATTTGAATATGTGCGACAAATATAGATTGTATAGCGCCAGGAACGGTGCCTCAATCGACAGGTGCGCTACTATGGCCACGAAAATACTGACTACCAGATTGATGATAAATTCGCAGAACTTCGTGAGAGAGAGGGAGGGAGGGGTGGGTTAGACAACAACACAATATTAGTTATTATGGGGGGGCTTACCATTGTGTAATGACTAAACGGTAGTGGCTGTCTAAGATAGGCATAGCGTACCCAAATAACTAGAAAGTGCATCATATAGATCATGAAACTTAGTTTGCCTAACGGCCCGAACAGTGACCAACTGAGAAACGTATTGATCGGGCCGCCGTTTTTCGTAGTACACCCGAATATAATCCAGGCCACACACAGCGACCAAGCGGTTCGGTGAAGGCCGGCGTACAGTGCGCCGAATATTGGATTCCATTGAACGCCCCGATTCAGTGTATAGGTGGACAACATTATGGCCAGACAGCCGAACAACGAGACCATCCATAGTAATAGATTGACGAACTGCGGGGGGGGAGGGGGAAGGGGAGGGTATAGTTTTAGCGCACAGTTTGTAATTTTTTTCCGAAAAAAAATGTAATTAATTACCGGATTTATGCGAAATGTCTTATATTTATAGACACCGTAGCCAAGGATGAGTCCAACACAATAGGGACCCAAATGTATATAAGTGTTGACATAGATTGTCGACGTTTGGTTGAATACATCACTGGTTGAAAATTATTAAAAAAAAAACAAGAGTTTCAATAGAGGATACCCCCAACTGTACTGTATATATATATAGTTTATACCCGCACCTTTCACTAGGTGTATTATAGAGGACAGTCGGATTTTGTTTCAGCATAAATGTGCGCACCGCAATGGCCAAATTGTTGGCCGACGCCACCAACACTATAAGTTTGATACCGAATTTTGGATTTCTATTGAGATAAAAACATATATTGATAGAGTGGACAGTTAGATTTTTTTTAGGTCAGTGCGCTAGCAATATATATACAGTATTACTTATAGAGTGGTATAATGAAGATAAACGATACGATAAACAGTTGAATATCGGCCGACAAATACCAGGTATGCAAGAGACACATATCGGACTCGTCGTACCAGTTGTTGACAAACGTCAACGTTGTCCACCAATAGCGGTAGCATTTGTCCAGTTGGATATCAAAATATTCGTTCCAGAGCGGACCGCTGGCCAGTGCGGGTACCAGAAAAATTAGGGCTACAGTCAACGCTACCGACGGCCAGAAACGAAACAAACGATTCAGTATCTGCTGACAGATGTTCAATTGGCCGCCCGATTTGTCCAGCCGATGAAACAGACTGTAAGTGGTCAGCATTGCGCCTAACAGGAAAAACGTATCGACCAGTACCCAGCCGTTAAGGATCAGCTGAAACCCCAGTTCTTCGACGGCAAACATGAATTCGCGGGCAAACGTAAACGTTTCTTTGATCGGTATCAGATAGGTATGCGTCCATAGGATCCATATCATCGACAGTACCCGAATGCCATTCAGACAGTCAATGGATCGACTGGTGCGGGTAGTGGTCGTCGAAGTAGACAATGACTTAGCGGCGAACAACGATCGACCGTTTCGGTAGACAGAAAATGCCAATAGTGTTGACACAAATAGTTTTCCTGACAGTGATTGGTGGGGAAAACAAATTCAGTGATTACTAATGATATGATAATTACCGGTAGTTTTTATTATTATTATTTGAATTATCTGTATATTGTATTTACGGTATTTGGTCTCAAAGCTGATAAATGGTGTAAACTTCTTGTCGGTGGTATAGTCGATGATCAGATCCAAACTGGTCGAAACTGTCATCAATATGAATACAGTGGCCAATACCGATATGATTGACTTATGCAAAACGGTAAACGATGGCAATTGTTTAACGTGACAGTCGTTGATTGTCATATTTATATGACTGTCCATAATAACTGTTTTTTTTCCCGAAAAAAATGACAACAAATCAAATCTATTATTATTATTGGTTTTTATATTATACTAACATTTCATTAGAAACGAGTGAAAGTCATCGGCATTACATGCAGACGGTATACACATCCCGATACGGCCGGAGCGGTCATAAAAAGCGTGGGCCGATAGCGAAAATTCGTCCAGAAACTGGTAGATAATAATAATAATATATAGTTAATATTAGCCAATCGATTAGCACCAGTAGCCGCCGTCAAATATTTATATTTAGATACCGTTCCGTCAGCCGGTGTGCCGGTAAAGTTGAACACTCGATGACGTAGTGTCAATCGTTTGGGTTTCGGCGGCAATGCCAACTGAAATTTGGCCACACAATATTGGCCAACATAATCGGCTCCGGCACCGGGATCTACCGAAGTGTCAATAGCCAGACACTGGTCGTAGGCGCCCAGGCTGGTGATCGTACCGTCTAGACTGCCGGCACTGAACGGCCGGCCGGACGAGTCAATCACTGATAATTTTATAAGTAAAAGACACAATATTTTTTAGTACCTGTTTTTTAAAAAAAAAACTACATGTGCTTACATTTGACAGCCCAATCGCGTTGACTATGCAATCCGGATAACGTTGCCGTCATTGCCATCACACAATCCATGGTCATATTGGTTGTCGGATCGGTTTCCGATTCGACCATTTTGGCCATCATATAGTTGACCAGTGCGCCAAACATACGACCCCACGACTTACTATAGGCCAGCCAAACATCTTTGGCCGGACTGTCGCTGCGCGACTCATTGATATCGGTGTTGAACATGTGCTGTGTTTCGGCAATCAAATGCATACCCGAGTCGACAAATCGGTTCAGTTGGCCATCGAAGTCGTGTTCAATGTGCGTATTTTGCGGCACATTCTCCGACAGTGACATATCGTCGTCGTCCTCCTCCTCGGCGGCGGCCGAGTCTTCATCGGCGTCGGTGTAATCATTAAAAACCGGTTGTTGTTGTTGTTGTAGTTTAGGTTTATCATTGACAACATCGGTGGTAGTGTTGTTATAATCAATTGAACTGTTGGCCAGAGTGGCACCGGTAATGTTGTTGATGGCATCGATTAGGATATGTTGGCCACAATTTTTTGTTATCAAAAACGATAGGATTAGACACAAAACTGATGGCAACTTTTTGTTGTAAAACATTTTTTTTCATATATATATATATATATATATATAATTAAAATAAATATCACTAAATATATAAAATCACATTAAATAAAAATCAGATGATTTAATATAATAATAATTAAAAAAATATTTAATATAATATTTAAAAAAAAATTAATTAAATTAAAAAATCAGACAAAATAGCAAAAAACCATAAGAAATAAAGTTAAAAAAAATTATTATTATTTAATTAATTATCATATCGTTTATATCGGAAAAAACAACATTGAGATCATTTATATAGATTATTATTATTATTATATTATAATATAATAATAATTAATTAAAAAATATTGATATTATTTCAACAATGTCTTATTATTTTTGAAATAATAAGTAATATTTAATATACAATAATAAATATATTCAATACAATATATATATTACAGTATATTTCCTGATAATATATATATATATATAAGTATTTATAAGATTAGTATTATTATTATTATTTGGTTTTAATTTCACATTTTTAATACCGACTACTTAGACTCATAGACAAACAAAATTGATTTTATTTCAAGTTTTTTTTCGCAAATAATAATTGACTAAAAAAATATATATATTGATATATATATAAAAATATAAAATATTTAGTCAACAAATTTTATTTAGTCTGAAGTTTACTTTTAAAAAAAAAAAAAAATTAGGAAATATATGTCAGAGATTTCACTTTAATAGACATACTGTACGAAAAACCAATAGAGAGATAAATCCGGAAAATGAGACATCAATATAATAATAATAATAATAATAAATAAATCAATATAAAGGACAGTAATATTATTTATTTTTTTGTTGGGTATACCTGTTTAATACAGTAGAGGTTACTTTGGTATATATGAAGTCCTAAAAGTAAATGTCATTCAAGATTATCCTAAAGCCTAATAATAAGTAAATCCGTTTATTTCATATTTCAAGAATATGKTACACATAATAAAGGGTACTAAAGGGCACGTCATTAGATAAATATTATACCCWATAGTACCCTATGAGGACARAGAWAAGTGATACGGTAWTCGTATCAAAAAATAGGGGTGAAAGTTATWTGTAGTACATTGATAATAATAATAATAAAAACAATATTAGGCTTAAGTAATTAAAGGGGATTACAAAAAAAAGTGCCAATTCTAAATGAGTACGGCGGCGTCCGTTGCTGCATTTCAAGTGCGGCTGATCCTATTTCTCTTGTAGTCAGATGTAAGGCGATGAAATGTTGAAGTGGGAAGGTGGACGGTAGAATTAATGTAGTCGGTGATAGACGGATWAACTTTAAACATATCGGGTTCTACGAAACTCCGATAGTTTGTATGACTTGAGACTCGGACATATATATATATATATATATATATATGATAACATACCAGTCGATTTGGACTTTGCCGGCTTCTACGAGAATGTTGCGAAGTTTGGGCGGGACTTGGATTACGATGTTTTTCTCGTTGTTCCGCTCTTTAGTGTGGAATATAAAGCGTAGCTCGGACTTGAGATGTTCGAGAGAGGTGTATGTGCCGCAAACGTTAGGGACTGATTCAAAAACCCGTTCGAGAATGTCTATATCTGTTGAGTGTTTAGGCACACCGCTTATGATCAGATACGGATATGACAAGTTTGCCTTCCTTTCTTTTGGAGACACGGTTAACGAAGATCTCTTCGGCTTCCGGGTCGATRAGGTCTGTGATGTCGTCGTATGTCTTGTAGATTGGGCTCAACAATAATCTGTTGGTAGGCTTCTTCGGTCGCTAATATGACTTATATATATAAATATCATATATATATATATATATATATATGATATATACCCAGAAATATTTTTGAGGCATTATTTTTTTCACTTATATTTTTGCTTCTATAGAAAATCAACGACAAATAAATACTTATTTCTATTGAATTTTGATATTTAAATTTATAATATTATAATTTATAAGATTATTATTATTAAAAATATTTTAGGTGTTTGTATATTTTGGATTAGTGGCTAAAAGTGAGTGACAAATAAATATTTTTTTTTCCAATGGATTCATATGTTTTCAATTAATTATTTTTCAAAACAATATAACTATTGCTAAAAAAATATTAATTTTGATACAAAATTTGTTTTTAATTAAATTATAATGAAATATTTTTAATTTCGTATTGTATTTTACAAAATTATTAATAATTTTAACCACATTAAAAAAACCATAAATATAATATATATATATAATGTAATAGTTAAAAAATAATGGACTAAATGGATATTAGTATTTTTGATCTAGAACAATTTTTTATATATATATTAAAATTACATGTAAAAATTATGTATTTTTTTAATCTTTTATTATCATATGTTAATACAATAAATTTCTATTTCAATAATACTGTATAACTATTTAGAGTAATTTCAAATTAATGTGTATAATATAACGATAATATACTGTTTTTAAGCTTAATTATTATTTATATATATATCAAATAATAATTAAAAAAAACTGCTTGGTGATAGATTATAATTTATTAAAAAAAAATATTTTAAACAATTTGTATCTATAAACTTTTTTTTATAGTTATTTTATTTTTGTTATCAAATATTATATAACACATACAATATATTGTTGTGTAAATATTGTATAGATATATATAACAAATCAAATATCAATTTCCTGAACAAAATACTTTTTTCATAGAAAAAAATAATTTATTTATTTAAATACTTATATTATATAAGTATAAGTTATATATATTATAATTTGACAATAAATATCTATATAAAAAAATATATACAACTAAGTTTTTTAGTTAATTATACAAAATTTTTGTGTCGCGAAACATTAGTAGACTTTTTTGGTTTTAAATATTTAGTTAATAAATAGTCGCACAGCCATAATAGGGCACTGGCTATGCCCAGTGAGCCCAGTATGTAAAATATGACATCATATTTACCGGTGCTGTCCTTGAAGCCTAAATTATTAATTTTTTTTTAAAAGTGTATAAAAATAATAGGATATATCAGTTAAATGTATTATATTTGTATGAATAAAAAATAATAGTATATATATATATATAAGGAATTTAATTTGATTTATAATACAAACCGATGAGTAGTGGCCTAAAAATAATGGTAACTATGCCGCATATAAAATTGGACAGACCCCAGGCCATAGCTGTCCTATCGACGCCCACATATTCGGATATTATTACCGCCGGTAATATCATTTGACAGCCGGTAACAAAACCGCACACTAGTGTAATGGCAGCGAAACCTGAAAACGTATTGGCAAACGGTATGGCTAGCATACAGACACCCATAACGGCTATGGACGATATGAATAGGTTTCTATTGGTAACCACTTCCATATAGGACAGCCAGCCGGGTATGAGTCGACCGAAAAAGTCGGTTATCGAGTACAAGGATAATAGTAACGTTCCCTCGTGTGCTGTCATTATAGGTAAAAAAACAATTATATTAATAGTATTAAAAAAATTAATTTAAATGCTATTTAATTATAACAAAACTCTCTCTCTCTCACTCACATACACACTCACTCACTCACTCACATACATACAAACACATACACATACACATACACATACACATACACATACACATACACATACACATACACATACACATACACATACACATACACATACACATACACATACACATACACATACACATACACATACACATACACATACACATACACATACACATACACATACACATACACATACACATACACATAGACATACACATACACATACACATACACATACACATACACATACACATACACATACAAACATACATACAAACACACACACACACACACACACACACTTACATACAAATACACACACAAATACTTACAAACACACACACATACACACACAGTCATACATACATAAATAAATAAATACCTGTGAGTCCTCTATCAGTGACAAAATCGGGTAAAATAATTATAAAGCTAACAAAATCGATAATAAAGCACACGTAGGTAACAGTGCACAGTTGAAAGTGCCGGTGCCTCAGTATTGTCAAATCATGTTTGGCGTGTCGTCTAATACTATCGCATAGACTGTATTTGATGATAATCTGCTGCTGAAATTGTTGGCCCGTTTTTTGCCGGCTGTCGAGCGTATTGTTTGCCGAATCGGTAACTGCCAGCGACTGGCGATTATTGTTGAGCTGATTGGCCAGCGATTGGTTAAGATCTTTGACCATACGGCGCTCGTTGAAAAACACGGGCAACGATAGCCGTTTGGCGCGCATACGGTCGCGATCGACGTGACTGCTGCGGCCGCCGACACCAGTGTCGCGCATTTTGACTACAGGAGCCGCCATCACCGTCGGATGCGGCGGCAGCGGCCGGTCGACAGTGTCGACGACCAGCGATTTCGGCCGTTCGCGCAACTGTCTAATGTTGACGTACTGATGGTTGGCCGCGTCCAAGTGGTTGGGCCGGAGAAACACTACGGTCGCGCATTCGGCTATCAACGGTTCCCTAATACCGCCGACGACGGCACCACCGGTATCATCACCGCTGCTATTATTATTATTATTAGCAGTGTTGCCACTGTTGTCTTTGGTATCGATTCTGTGGCCCCGATTGGTGGTCACTAGTGGCCTAATTGTACCGTCGGTATCGCTGTCGCCGCCGTCGTCCTCGTCGTCGTCAATAGTTTCGGCAACCGGTGGCCGCAGTAGTAGAGCACCGATAAGTGCGTGTAATGTAATGCCTATATTATAAAAATAATTATCTGTTATTTATATATACACTATTATATTATATAATACGGTAAATACTGTGTGATATTTATTATGCTATTATATATATCTCATAATACAGTATCAAAAATATATGGGACTATAAATAGCCATAAAACTACTTAAATAGTAGTTTTTATGTGTAATTAATTGACATTTATTTTTTTCTAGCAAATAAAAAATAGATCTCAAAATAATTTATTATTAGTTTAAAAAAATTTATCAATCAATTTGAGTGAGTATTGACACTATTTGTTTTTAACTAAAATTTTTTAATAATAATAATTAATCAAATATTTTTATACAAATTAATATACAGTATATACTATATATCTTACTAAAAAAAATAATATTAGTTAAAATATTTAAAAAAAAAAAATATTTCAAGTTTATTTTAAAAAGATTATTTCAAGTTATAAATAGATTTTTTTCGCTAAATATAAATCTTTTTTTTAAAAACTAGAATTAGTTTAATTTTATGAGTCTATTGGATATTTTATTGCAAAAATGATTATAATTATTATTTTTCTAAAAAAATTTGTAAATATAAATTTAATTTATGTAAATTAATGTTATTAGTGTAATGTAATTAAATTAATGTAAATTTTAATTATAAATTTCAAAAAAAAAATAAAAATAAATAATGCCTATTAATAAATATATAAGTAATGCATAATCAATCAATGATTATATCATTATCGATATATTATAACTAAACAACAAAATAAAAAATACTAATAATACTAATAATATTTTTTGGGCTGAAATATATGTCATCATATGATAAAAAATAACATCAGACACGTGTGTGTGTGTGTGTGTGTGTGTGTGTGTGTGTGTGTGTGTGTGTGTGTGTGTATGTATGTATGTTATGTCATCTATACCTCCCATCAATAGCAATGTCCCGCTGAGACCAAACTCGTTGAGCTGCCATTCAATGGCCAGCGGAAAGACAAAAGCTCCCAGTGCTGATCCACCGTAGGATATGCCGCATGCGATCGCACGTTGTTTGCCAAAGTATTGGCTAATGATTGCCGGCAATAGATTTGTCACCAAACCTATGCCTACACCTTCAAGTAATATATATATATAGAGTGGGTGAGTGATGAGTGTGTGTGTGTGTGTGAGTGAGAGAGAGAGAGAGAGAGAGAGAGAGAGAGAGAGAGAGAGAGAGAGAGAGAGAGATAGAGAGGTTAGATAGTGCACATGTATGTCTAGCAAACTAAGATTGTGATAATTTATATACTATAACATGATTTATTAATATATTATTATTAATAACAATATTATACGAAATGTATTTAATAAATGATATTTAATGTCCAAATAAAAATTATGATAAATTTTTGTTGTTGTTGTTTATCATATATTATATAAAAATATGTGGAGTAAGTAAATACTGTATATATATATATAAAAATCAATTATAGAAAATCAAATGTTTATATGTATATAAATTTATATATACTGTACAGTAATGTATTATCAATAATATATTGTTTATATTTTGATATTGAATGATACTATATATTTAACAAATATATATATATATATATAATAGCTATTGAATTTTATTTATTTATTTTTATTTAAAGAAACATAAATCTATATATCAATGTTTTATATTAAAAATATTATATATCAGTATATATATATATATATATATATATATATATATAATAAAAAATTGAAATAAATTAATATTTTTGAATCTATGAAAATAAACAATTTTTTCATCATTTATTTATAATATAATTATTAATAATAATTTCCTTTAAAAAATATATATTTAATAATAATAATAATAATAATAATAATAAGGTTATTAATGAAAATAATCCTTAAATATTATATTAAGGGCAATAAGAAAGTAAAATATAATTCATTTATTTAAGATATTTATTATAGACAAGAATTTATATATATATATTTTAATCATTAATATTATATTATTATATTTATTATATTGTTATCGTTATTATTATTATTATTATCATTGACATCAACTTTGATCTAATCTTGTTCATAATTTTTTGTTTTGTAAACCTTAAATATATATATAAATCAATATATACTGTATATATAACTTTCAATAATATAAGATATATATATATTTAATGTATAAATAAAAAGTTTATCAATCATTTTAATGATCCCCAGGACTTACATGCGTTGATAAATAATAATAAAACTTTTAGAGAGAGAGAGAGAGAGAGAGAGAGAGAGAGAGAGAGAGAGAGAGAGAGTTTTAGTTATAATTTTTGACATACATCTAAATAAATTGATGTCAAAAAAATATTACATATATTATAAATGGCTTATAATGTGTTTATATAAAATCAATATGTTATGCTAAACAAGAAAAATTAATATACTATACACAGTAAAGTACAGGTATATGACACACACCAACAAAAAAAACATGACATACCCTGAATGACGCCTAAAAATATGGTTATCTGTACGATATTGGCGGCCAAAAAACATACGCTAATGGCCAACGAGCTGACCAGTATACCGGCGGACACCAGTGTCCTGATTTGGTAGTAATGGGCCAGAAAACCGGCTGCTATACCCGTAATACTGGCAACGCTGCCAATAAGGGATACCGGCCACGAGGCCTGCATGTGTGAGCATCGGTACTCGTCGATAAAGGCGTCTATATTAATGGGGGTGGGGTGTGGGGGTAGAGGTAAATATTGTTTGTGATTACTTGTTTTGGATGGTAAGTCGGGTAATGGGGGTGGGGTATAATTGATTAGTGAGAGAGGGGTATAGGCACTTACCGTATAACAGTCCCATTGACCGGAATAAGCCAAATATAAAGACATTAATCCAGGAACAGGCAAACGCTATAATCCATTTCCAATATTTATGGTTATTATTATTATTATTATTATTATTATTATCATCATCGTTATGGTGGTTATGATGGCTATAATTATAATTATGATAACTATTAGACATGTGGTTCACATTAGTATTATTATTATTAGTAGTATTCAATGTTTTCATATAATTTCTATGTGAAGGCATTTTTAATGGGTATAATAGAAAATTGTCTTCAATTTATTTATTTATTTATTTTTTTATATATGAAAACAAAAATATATAATATTTTCACTATAATTCACTGTTAATGTAGTTATTATTATTATTATTATTTTAATTAATTTAATTATTTAGCTAAATTTTTTTTTGTTATTATAAATAATTATCATATCAAATTATGATAACCGTTTTGGCATTGATAATTTTTTTTAAAAATAATTAAATAATAATAATTAAATTTGTTACATTATTAAGTCATAAAATTTGTATTATATAGTATTTTCTAAAATTATTAGATAATTTGATTTTTTTAAATAAATATTTTTAGATTATTATTATTATTATTATTATTAATTTTTTTGGGTTACAAAAATTTTTATCAATACATTAAAACATTTTAATTGATTTCATAATTATTATTATTATTATATTTATTTAATAGCTAGTTGTTTGTTGATATATTTAAAATTGCATTATTATTATTATTATTATATTGTAGAAACAAATATATACAAAATTATATATTTTTAATTATTTAGTTATTTAGTTATTTAATTAATAAACAATCATTTTTATATAAATGTCATTTTTAATTTTTATTTGCGCATTATATCAAATATTTTTTGAAAAAAAAATAAAATAAAATATCAATAAATAATTGAAAGACTAGTTAGCCGTAAATAATTGTTTTTAAAAACAAATCAAAAAACAAAAATTTCAAAAATTAAAACTCATATTTCATATACACATTATAAATTTTATGATTTTAATAAATATATTTATATATAAAACAAATAAAAATTTATATAATAATAAAATTGACACTACTATTACACTAATAACACATTGACTTTATTATTATTATTATTAACATTATTATCATATAATATAATACTGTAGTTATTTAGTTAAATTGCATTTTATAAATCGTTGATAATAATAATTTTATTAAATAATAACTGAGATAACACATATATATAATATTTTATCGTATAATTTATATACAGTATATATACTGTATATATATATATGCAAACACACGGTTTCAAACTAAGCGCAAGTTTTAATTATAATATTATTTAAATTTTTTTCAAATTTTTTTGTTTTTTAACTAATGTAGTGAATATACGGTCTATTATTATTTTTTGAATCACAAACAGTATATACATTAGGTTTTGAATTGAATTGAATAAATAAAAATTTTCAAACAAAAATACAAAGTCCAGTGTATTATTTGCAAACTGTTTGCAACAAACATATGTGTGTTTGATTAGCATCACAGCACCGGTAGATAGAAAAATAACTATAGTTTCTCTCTCTTTCTCTCATTAACATTATTAGTAGCGGTGGTTGCTTTGTGTTTCACTGTTATTATATTTTGTATGTATTGTATTTGTATATGAATTTTATCAATTAAAGACAAATACAGTACATTTCCTTTAGATATGATATTATATACGATATATATATATATATATATATAAATTATATTATAAACACATGCGAGTAGTTTTTGTAAACATTTAACTACTTTTATCCAATAATTATAATAATAATAATAATAGTTTTTAACTGATTTTCAACTTATTGACACAAATTATTTTTTTTAGATATTATATACATTGCTAATTATGTATTAATAATAATAATATTGATATTACTTTGTTAAATGTTATAATATCATTATTTTTTAAATAATTTTTTATTATAATAATAATGATAATAAATATTGTGCACAAAATTATATATATTCAAAATATACAATTAATAAATATTTGATGAAAATTAATTTAATATTTATAATTATAATAATAATTTGCAATTATATAATATAAAATATTTCAGGATTTATAATTTTGACAAATTCACAAATGAGAGATTATCACTATTAAAATAAAATAAAATAAAATATGGTGACAATAATTTAGCTATCATATAATTTATTTTAAATATATATATATATATAGTATATTATGTGATAAAATTTTTGAAAAACTTGATAACTTGATATACACTGTATGTATAATAAAATACAATTTATTTTTTCACTGACATTTATTATTATTATTATTATTACCTGTAATCTCCTTTTATGTAGAAAAAAAACTAAATGTCATAATAAATATATCACATAGTGTTTAATAAATATATATATATATAATAATATATATAAAATTTAATTAAATCTATTATTATATCATATGATATATAATATATAACAACTACTGTATAAGATAACTAAATATATTAATATATAAATTATTAGTATAGTTATAGTTATTATTAAAAATTATATATTAAATTTATATATACATTGTTAGTATGTTTAGAAAATCACGTAAAACAAAGTGTATAAAAATTATTATTATTATTATTATTATAATATTAGTAATAAGTTATTACACATTTATAGTGACATTGGATTTATATATATATATATATATATATTATATTTATATATAAAGTATTATCGTTCATATATGGTATTTATCGCCTAAAATATAATCGTGTGCTTCAAGTATATAATATTTTATACTACAGTAGGTTATAATATCATATATATATAAAATTTATATTAAAATAATAAAAAAAGACATTGATGATATTTCCAGTATTTACTTACAATAGTTGATATATATTGTACGTATGATATTATAGTATTTATATGTATATATATATATATATATATAAATGGTTAGATGATAGCAAAAAATATTTGATATGTAACCATAGGCACAATGCTATGCAATAATATATATAAATTAGATATATTATACAAGTATAATAAATTTATTTAATATTAATATGTGATAGATATTAGATACTATGTTTAATTTATTAAACATTATTTACTAATATCATTAGATTTATCACTTAACTGATTGACTATAAGTCATATATATATATATAGTATATATATAATTGTTGTATTTATTTGTTATTTATATATTAATTTCATTATTTCATATTAAGATTAATATTTTCTTGTAATTATAAATAAAAAAACAAATGGTTTGAATATTATTCACATATTTTCAATTATATATTCCCAATAATTTCTATTTAATTTATAATATTTTTTATAATTTTTTAAACATATATATATATACAGTATATATATATATTTATTTAATATATAAGTATTATTAAATATCTAACATTTTTTCATTAAGAATTTTATTAAATAATTTTTTTAAAATATAAAAATAAATTTTTTTATTAAGTACTAAATGTTTTAATCACTATATTTTAAAACAAACATTTTTTGTTTGTTTATAATTATTTTGCTTAACAATTGTATAAAATTTTCAATAGGTTTTCATTATCTGAGATTAGATGTTGATGACTGACTGATGTTTTTTTATTAGACAAACAAAAAAATTGTTATAATTGTAAACATGATTTCCGTTTGTATTATCAATTGGACTCTCTCTCTCTCTCTCTCTCTCTCTCTCTCTCTCTCTCTCATTACAGCTAAACATCGCAATTATTGTTATGTAAATAAGTGACAAACAAATTGATTAATTTAATTATATATTTAGATAACTAGATGTTTGTCGATATAAAATAAAATCAACTTTTATAGGCTATAGAAAATTTAGTAATTGTTTTTATTTATTTATTTATTTGCAATCTAAACGCAAATGATTTATATCGTATACTTGAATATACAGTAATTAATTTATATATAAAATTTAGCATTCAATTTGGTCATCAATAATACAGTAGTAATATAATAATATAATTAGATATTAATTATTAAATTTATAATAATTAATTTTAATTTCTATTATATTTATTAACAATAGCATATAATTTTTTTTTATAATTTAGATTCAATTATCTAAAATTATCTATGATATAAAAATTAATTTTAATAATTTATTAAACAATATAATAATTATTACTGATAATACTGTTATAAATAAGTATAAATATCATTAATATAATTAATTTATAGTTAAATAAGTAAACAGAATATTATTTTAATGTAATATAAAGAATATTATTGTTTCCAAAAATAAATATATTTGATTAAAAATATTTTATAGAAATAAAAATTATATATCATTTATACAATTAATTATAATTATCATTTTATTATTGTATAATAAATCAAACAATTACACAAAACAATTACAATAATAATTTTTATCTTAATATTTTGATTTAAAATACTGTAAAATATTTTTATTTATTTACATATTAATTAGCATCTTATGACTAAATAATTATAACATATTATTATTATTATTTATATAGTATTACTAATCAAATGCTATTTATTATAATATAATAATGTATTTAATATACGGTATATAAATATATTTATAGTTAGTATTATTTATATTAATAATATTATATATAGAAATAGTAATTATTAATAATAAAACATGTTTCAATATTGCGAAATATTTTTACGCATATTAATTAACTAAATATAATTGTTGGCAAAAATATTATTTATTTATTTTTTTAAATATAATTAAAAATGCCAAAAAATTAAATATTAATTAATTATATTTAATATAAAATACAGTATATGGCATCATAAAATATTTGGTATAATTATTTAGACATTAAATTTTGTTTTATTACATAATACTAAGGATAATACTTTAATAAATATTTTTTGGTGTAATTATTTATATTTGTTAAATAAATATATATATATTAAATACTACGTATACATTATAATTATTTATATACAGTATATACTATATATATATATTATATATATATATATAGTATGTCCATTAGAGATAACCTTGATAATTAATATCAAATTAATCCTAGCTAAGAAATTCGTGATAATTATTTATATATATATATAATAGCATTATAATTAATAACTAATAATTTATTTAAAAATATATATACAGTATATAATTTATTTTTAATAGTTAAATAAAATG